TGCTCATTTCCCTCTTCTGAAGATAATAAGTAATTTTTCACTTCTTGTAATCCTTTGAAGGCTTGTGCAGAAGTTGTTTTCTCTTCTGTGATTGACACTTCATCATCACTTTCAGCATTTGAGCTGTCTTCCTCATGCTGAGACTGAGGTGAAACACTTTGTAAAATTTCAGCATCAGTGAGCTCTGAAGAAACCAAGAGTTGCTCATCAGCATTGACAAAATCTTCAAAACTCAACTGGTTCTGGGGAAATTCAGGCAAGCTCTCCACAACTGAGTCCCAGAGATCCTTGTTGACTTGATCATGCATTCCCTCTATATCTTCTTCTGCCAAATCAGCTTCAGAATTTGATTCAAATATGCCACTTTTTTGCCAACATTTTGCAATAGTGCTCTGTTTAACCTTTGACCAGGCATCTGAAATCATGTCAATGGCCTCTTTCACATCAACCTTTTTCTCCTGCTTGCAAGTCAAGTTCATGAGGATTTTTTTCAGCATTTCCTTGCGGTAATGAGCTTTCAGATTGCAAATTATTCCCAAATCCAATGGTTGCAGCACTGCTGTGCAATTTGGTGGCAGATACTCCACATTGACATTGTTTGTGTGTGGAAGCATATTATGGGCAGTGCAATTGTCAATGAGAAGAAGAATCCTCCATTTTTCATTTTTCATTTTCTTGTCCAACTTTTTCAGCCAATTTCCAAAGATTTCTTGGGTCATCCAAGCTCACTGGTTTGCACTGTACTCACAAGGCAGGAATCTTACATTTTTAAAACACCTTGGATTTTTTGATCTCCCAATAATCAGTGGTTTCATTTTCTGGCTGCCAGTTGCATTGCAGCAAAGAAGAGCAGTAAGTCTTTGTTTGGATTTTTTTCCTCCTTTGCATGGATCTCCTTTCAATGCCAAAGTGGGATTTGGAAGCATTTGGTAGAAGATCCCAGTTTCATCAGCATTGTAAATATCCTCAAGTTTTTGGTCAGATATGATTTTTTCAATTTTTCCAGCTCGCCATTCATTTGCCTTTTCAAGTGGTACTGCTGATGTCTCTCCACAGATAATTCTGGCAGTTATCCCAAACCTCTCTTGAAAGCGTATTAGCCAACCCCAGCTTGCAGTGAAATCCAGATGACCCAAGGATGCAGCTAACACCTTTGCTTTTTCTTGAATGAGTGGCCCACTGATGGGCATATTTTTTGATCTTAAATCAGTAAACCACATGAAAACAGCTTTCTCCACATCATCAAATGGAGCAGGTCTCAATCTCTTGCGCTGAGGGCCAATGTTCACATCTTGCACCTTTTGTTCAATTTTTGATTGGTCTTTCAAGAATGTGGATAATGTTGATGGAGAAATTCCAAACTCATCAGCAATGTCTTTTTTCTTCTTCCCAGAATCCACTGCATCAAAGACCTTGAGCTTTTTCTCTAAAGTAAACTGTAGTCTTTTCTTTCTCTCTGCCATATCTGTAAAAATAAATTTCAGAAGAAATGACTAAATTTGACAATGCATTTTAAAAGGCAGAAGTTTAGATGAGGCAACCCAACTGCAAGAAGTTAGGCTGGGTCAGGCCATGCAAGCAAAAATACGGTACAGTGGCCCCCTGCCTAATGGACTGCTTGCCCAACAGATGTTCACGTAACAGACCCCCTCTGGAGGTCATTTTCTGCCCCGCCTAACAGACCAAATCAACCTAACAGATTTCAGATTTTTTTAATAGTGTGTGGCAGTTGGACATGCATCTCTCACATACCCCTTGCTTCCCTCACACCCCCTTGCTTCTCTACAAGCTGAGCCATCTGGTGCACAAAACCTTTTTGAAGTTCATGACAACAGTGACTCTGTGTGATCAATGTGTTTTTTTATGTTTGTCACTTTTGTGAGAATGACTGAGTAGTGACTTATGGGCTTTCTTCTTTCCTGTTTGAAAGTTTATAAAGCTCAGGTTTGATTGTGTTCAAGAATAGAACAATAGGTCTGTGTTTCCAAGTTTTTTCCTGATTTTCCTGTTGCATAAACTTCAGCCTTCTCTTCTGATAGAAACTTAACAAATTATTCTTTCTTGTAGAAACTTGATATGCCATTTTGTAGAAGCTTCAGTCTTATCTTCTGGTAGAAACTGCTGAGCAAATCTCTGTTTGTAGAAATTACACATGTCCCTTTGTGTAAGAACTCCACAAATCCCTTCTTGTAGAAACTTCACGAATCCTTTCTTGTAGAAACTTTGCATATCTCTTCTTGTAGAAACTTCTGGTCTCTGTTCTGGTAGGAGCTTCAATTATCTCTTCTTGTAGAAACTTCTGGTCTCTCTTCTGGTAGAAACTTCACTTGCCTCTTCTTGTAGAAACTTCACTTATCTCTTCTTGTAGAAACTTTATTTATCACTTCCTGTAGAAACTTCACTTATCTCTTCTTGTAGAAACTTTATTTATCACTTCTTGTAGAAACTTCACTTATCACTTCTTGTAGAAACTTCACTTATCTCTTCTTGTAGAAACTTCAGTTATCTCTTCTTGTAGAAACTTCTGGTCTCTCTTCTGGTAGAAACTTTGCATATCTGTTCTTGTAGAAACTTCTGGTCTCTCTTCTGGTAGAAACTTCACTTATCTCTTCTTGCAGAAACTTCACTTATTTCTTCTTGTAGAAACTTCACTTATCTCTTCTGGTAGAAACTTCACTTATCTCTTCTTGTAGAAACTTCACTTATCTCTTCTTGTAG